CTTACAACACCTTGAGGAGCAATACCAATTAAAAACTTGACAGTGTTGTGGTGTTTATAGGAAGAAAATATTTGTGCACGTGCTAGTGCATTTTTCGGTTTGTCTATAAATACCTCAAAACAGTCTATAACAACTCCCACTCTTGTTCCAAAATGTTGTCGGAAACACATTGGGGTAGTCTTACATAACTGCTCTCTATCTGACCATTTTATTAGTTCTTTAAGTCTCACATATAAAACATCGATTGTTTTGAGAAACACAGAAGAGGCTGTTGTGCTACTGACATTATAACGATAAGCTAAATCATTTAATGTTAAATTAAGCCGAAGACGCATCAAAGTCAGTGAAAGATGTTGAAAATCTGAAAGTTTTGATCTTTTACACAGAAGGAAAGATCTTATAAATTTAAAAAGAGTAAAAAAAACATCCATGTTTGGAAGACCTGTATAAAAAAGAACTTCTATTGTACCAACATTTAAAATAGACAACTCTGACATCAAATTACAAATTTTGGATTTACTTGAAGATAATTCTTCATCCATGGAAATAATGTGTTTGTTTGTTAAGCTTGTTTGACATGAAGAATCTTTGAAATTATTTTTACAAAGAACATCACCAACCACTTCAAAATCAATATCATGTAATTTTGAATCATTCAATATTGCATGATGTTGATTTTGAATCACATTTATGGAATATAAAATTTAATCTTTAAAATCGACGGAAGATGGTGCTGCAACAACTTGTAACTCTTCTTTTTTCTGAATGATATCTGTAACACCTCTCACAAGTTGACGGTCAATAGCACGTTTGTGTCTGGAAATGTCTGTCAGTTTTTTTTCATAACCCATGGATTGATTCAATATCCAATCTGGGTGAGATTTCTCGAATAATTTAGCAGGTTTCCCTGTAATATATAAAACACAAATATATGCCTAATTATATATACTATAAGAAGTAAAAAATATTGTATTCCTTAAAAAGAACTGAGTTTACCATATTTGAATTGTTAATGCAACTAAATAAACTTGTTGGAAACCTCAATTTAGCTGTATTTTATAGAAAACTGATAAGTTTAAAATGTTATTTTTCCAAAAAAAAGAAAAAAAAAAGAAGAGAATAACTAAAAAAAATAAACTTGTTGGAAACCTCAATTTAGCCTGTAATGAAATGATCAGAACAAACTCTATAGTAAGTTGCATCGAAATTCATGTCTTTACGTTTTATTGCACAAAACCATTTATTTTTCCTTTCTGTTGAGAGTTGCTTAGTTTCCTCGTCGTGGTGTAAAAGTATGGTTGGAATGCGAAAAAATGACTTTGTACAATTTTCAGAACGATTAGTGCAATTAAACACACAACAAAAAACCATGGTTTTAAATGTTTTCAAAATTATATGAACAAATATATCAATACAAAAGCGCAATAAGTATACGGTAACTCGTTGTTTGTTTGTGAACCATCATGGCGGCTTATTTACAATTTAGTTTTAGCTGAAGCTAGTGAGGCCAGGTCGGAACACCGAATGCGTTGCTCTTATACAAAATGAGGAAATTGGCATATAAATAAAGAAGAAATTAAAATATTTAACTTATTTTTTCACAAGACATTAAATTTTTATTTATATTTCTATATTTAAAAGAATCATATTCGGTTTTCATAAAAAAACAATTTATTGTATTTTTTTTCGGTTAGTCCGGACTAATTCTAGATTTGTCCGGAAAACTACACAAGTCCGGATGATTTTAAAAAAAAAAGGAGGCGCCTATATTTTATAGAATTTTACAAACTATGTATATGAACACTATTTCAAAATAAACAGTATAATTGAATATAATAAACAACTCTGCTATCATATGATACTTGGCTATTTGCATTCTTTCACAGTTTCTCAACGTTCTATTCTAATAGATGTTTTTAATTACTTGTGGCTATGAAAATAGCCGTTTGTTTAAAATTCAACGCAGAACAGCTCATCAGTATGATTCTTCATGGTCTTACTTCTTAAAATAGTTAATTGCTTGTTAAAATTGATTAAATTGTTAATTAACCAAAATTATGAGATTGCCTAACCAAAAAAAAAATCAATAAAAACTATTAACAATATTAATAATAAAACTATTTTACCTTTATTTTAAGCAGTTATCAGAAGAACTGTCACTTTGCTTTCGTCAACTATTTTGTTTTCACTCTTTTTTTATCCATTTTGTTTTTTTTGCAAAAGAGGTACATATCAGATGTCATGAACAAATAATTAGCTGTATCCCTAGTGTTTTCTGCAAGAGGTTAAACGAGCATGACCAAATTGAGCAGTTTTGTTTTCCTTATTTCTGGCTTCAATAGAACTCTCAGAAAAAGAACCTATCGGATACTTAAAATACCTTATAAAAGAAGTACCATGAACTATCACTCTATGCACAGATTGTGACAAAGGTATGGTTTTTAAAAATTTATCATTAGTTATGAGTGCAAATAGATGTTCAGATTTCTGTTTGAAAACCTTTATATCCTGTCTTGTAGTTGTTCTGCTTATATCAATGAGTAAATCTCGAAACAACTTAATCATTCTGATATCCAAGTTTAAAATTCTCCTTGTCACAATCGGGTTATTAAATAATTTGCGAGCAACATTTCCAGTATTGGTTGTTCCACATCCTTTCCTGACAAAAGAAACCCTTATATTCAGTTGTATTCAGCTGGAATTTTTTTTTGTTTTCAATAAATTCTTTACTCTTTTGTGATGGAATATTTCTTCCTTGCTTAACAGCTGGGAGTTTAGAAGCAGTATTGAAAATCCACTCCATATAGCGCATCCATAGATGAAGACTGAAAATTCAAAGTTTCAAAACATGCTTGTTTAAATTAATATTTTTTTTCCAAATAGTTTTCAAGTTAAATTCTCTAGAATTTGCAAGGCATACATGGCAGGACTGAGATGAAATTTTTTTTTTTAACATATTTGATACAACAGCGTTTAGTGTTTTGCCATCATTCATTGTGGTATAAATAATTGACAAACTAGACTTTACTACAAAAGTACTTTCACCAAGTTTAAATTCAATATTCTTCAATAAAAAAATTTCATTTTTCAAATGTTCAAATTTTTCCTGAATAAAACTAGCAGTCTCTTTTGCAAAATAAAAAAGAAGATGACGGGTTGCATCTGGACTATTTGGAATTAAATTTTTCCATATTATTTTTCCTCCACTTCGGATCTCCAGCAGTACAAACACTATTCTATACACAGAGCGATCATCTACACCTCTTTTCATAGTTGCTGAATTTTGAAACTCAGATTGATCACTTTGACCATCACCTCCTACTTTGCAAATAGTTTGTACATTATCACGCTCTTCTCGTGATAAACACATTATGCAATTACTTTCATAATTCAAAAGATATTCAAACATTCTAGAAACTGAATGCTTTATCATATAGAAAAGACTACATTTTACTTCGGTTTCAGAATATTCAACCTGTTCTGGATATGTCAATTTTTTGTATTGCTTCAACTTGGTTAAACCTAGAGGAACAAGATGACGATTATGAGTCACTATATTTTTAAATTCAGTCCATGTTCTATCTGTAAGTTTCAAATTACAAAGAGCTTGCAATGACAAATTAGAACCATATAAAATAGCCCTACCATCAATAGAAGAATTAGATTTAAACCTTTTGACAGCATGTTGTAGTTCTTCCACCTCTCGTTCTCTAAGACTATCTGTTCTTTTACGCTTCATCCTGTTTGTAAGCTTAATAAAAGACTTTCTAGGTTTTGGTGTACAAGATATATTGACTGCAGATGATTTAGGTATTCAACATGGTATACTATAAATAATAAAAAAATACATTGAAGCATATATACATTTTAAAGGTTTTGTGAAACATAGTCGAACAACATGGATGTGTGTGCAAAATAAAAAGAGGGAGAAACATTTATCTATGCATACCTGTTTACATTGGATCCATGAGTACGAAGCAGTAATTCCCCTTCTTTTATTTTACGCTCATCCTGCTTGATGAGTTGATTACCCTGTTTAACCAGATTTTCACCTTTTCTAATTAATAGCAGTTCTTCCTCATGTGTTCTAATCTCTTTTTCAGAATCTTTTTCTAATCTACACGCACAAGTATAATATATATATATATATATATATATATATATATATATATATATATATATATATATATATATATATATATATATATATATATATATATATATATATATATATATATATATATATATATATATATATATATATATATATATATATATATATATATATATATATATATATATATATATATATATATATATATATATATATATATATATATATATATATATATATATATATATATATATATATATATATATATATATATATAAATATATACATTTTTTTTTTTACAGCAAATATCGATATAGGTATGTATCATGGATAAATGAATGTATCAGAACCAAATGTTATTTTTAAACTAAAAAATCAGTTTTGTAGCCCAGTTATGCTGCCCAAATGTTTGTTGATTACTTTGTCTTAGTCAAAAATTTGTTTTATCAGAACCATATGTTATTTTTAAACTAAAAAATCAATTTTGTAGCCCAGTTATGCTGCCCAAATGTTTGTTGATTACTTTGTCTTAGTCAAAATTTTGCTTTATCAGAAGCAAATGTTATTTTTAAACTAAAAAATCAATTTTGTAGCCCAGTTATGCTGCCCAAATGTTTGTTTTTAACTCTGTCTTAGTCAAAATTTTGCTTTATCAGAACCAAATGTTATTTTTAAACTAAAAAATCAATTTTGTAGCCCAGTTATGCTGCCCAAATGTTTGTTTTTTACTTTGTCTTAGTCAAAATTTTGCTTTATCAGAACCAAATGTTATTTTTAAACTAAAAAATCAATTTTGTAGCCCAGTTATGCTGCCCAAATGTTTGTTTTTACTCTGTCTTAGTCAAAGTTTTGCTTTATCAGAACAGCAGTATCTACATTGTATGTTTTTCGATTTCAGGTCATAATGGCATATCATCACAAGTCTAGTTATCAAAAAGCTAAAGACCGTGAAGATAAAAAGAAACGTGAGGAAGCGGTCATTTCAAAAACTGTTAAAATAACTGAGCTTTTTCCTACGATTAGTGACAATGTCAATAGAGAAGACCCACCATCGAATTCACCTTTACCATGTGTTGGTCAGTGTGGTTTGCCTGGTCAATTTGGTCATGAATTTGAACGTGATAACAGTGTTGCAGCTGTATGCACTCAATCTATCTCTCACTCTGAATCTGATGATATGGTAGACGCGGAGGCACTTTCTCAGAAACCAGAAGCACAAGCTGGTTCTAAAGGTGATGACAATTCCTTTTCCACTGACATTGGGCAATGGTCTGAAGTGGAAATCAATGATACATTCTGTAACTTTTGGGTAACTCGTGGCAGTGAATGTTGTCAACATTCAAATGCTGACTTTACTAGTTCAATGCAAATTTATGGAAAACAGAAGCGCTACTGCTCACAGAATCTCTTTTATCGTGTTCATTCTCGCAATGGTGAGAAAGTCCCAAGGTCATGGTTGTGTTATTCACCAGCAACATCTCGCATTTACTGCTTTGTATGTAAATTATTTTCTCCTGATGATAATTCATTCTCAAGGAATGGTTTTTGTGATTGGAAAAATGCAGCTTCACGAATACAGTCACATGAAAACAGCATTGCACATAGAAATGCAACAATCACAATCAGCCAAAGAGTACAAGTCAGAGGATGTGTAGATTCAGCAATAGTTGAGCAATACAGACAGGAATGTGCATATGCAAAATCTGTGCTAGAAAGAGTTGTCTCAGTTATCAAATTACTTGCTGAAAGAGGGCTGGCATTTAGCGGACATACTGAAATATTGGGGTCAAGTTCTAATGGCAGTTTTTTGGGAATTTGGAGTTGATTGCTTAGTTTGATCCATTCCTCTCCAGTCATATTGACAACCATTGTGGTAAGGGGAAAGGCTCTGTTTCATACCTGTCATCAACAATTTGTGATGAGTTAATTGATGTCATGGGAAAGCAAGTTATGAAAACAATATTGTCTGAAATACGTGGAGCAAAATTTTATTCGATTTCTGTTGACTCTACTCCAGACATATCTCATGTTGATAGGCTGTCATGTGTCTTTCGATATGTTTTGAACGATGGCCCTATAATAAGGTTTGTGCAATTTTTAAGCATGAAAGGACATGGGGCAGAAGATTTGTTTAACAGTTTATACAGCTTTCTGGAAGAAGCAAAGTTGGATATAAAATATTGCCGAGGTCAGTCCTACGATAATGCTAGCAATATGGCAGGAAAATCTTCAGGGTTACAGGCACGCATTCGAGAGAAGAACCCATTGGCTGAATATGTGCCATGTTTTGCACACTCCCTTAATTTAGTTGGTGCATCAGCTGTAAACTGCTTGACAACAGTGAGTGGATTTTTTGATTTTGTACAAAACTTGTATGTCTTTTTAAATGCATCAACCCAACGGTGGGAGCTTCTAACCAAAGGATTGGATAGTAACCAGTTAGTTCTAAAACGCCTTTCTGATACTCGATGGTCAGCACATTCTGCAGCAACTAAAGCATTGAGCAAAGGCTTTAAAAATGTTAAGACAGTGTTAGAAAACATTGCTGAGGACCCCGAGGAGAAGGTTGAAGCTCGCACTGCAGCTGCAGGAATTGCAAAGAAGATGGATCAGTTAGAATATGGAATTTTATTAGAACTCTGGACACCCATATTAGATCGCTTTCATAAGACCAGTTTAAAACTGCAAAGTCCACAACTTGATCTAAATGAGGCTGTTCAGCTGTTAACTTCACTAAAAGAATATGTAAATTCACTTCGAGAACAGTTTGATTTCTTTGAGAAAAAAGGAAAGGAAATAACAGGGTCAACTTCTTATAAAGAAGAGAATCAGAGGAAACGAAAGCGAAGTGTTCAATTAACCCGTCATGATGGATCAGCTGATGAAACAGTGTTTTCGGCACAGCAGAAATTTCGAGTCATGGTTTTCTTGCCAGTACTTGATCACTTGAATTCAGCATTATGTTAACGATCAGAGGCATACAGTGGTGTATGTGATAAGTTTGGTTTTCTGAGAAACATTCGATCACTGGAACAGTCTGATTTGCGAAGAGCCAGTAAAAACTTGATAGATACTTATGTAGATGATTTGGAAGAGTCATTTGAAGATGAAATACTTCACTTCAAAGAATATTTGTTAGCTGATACGTACTTGCAACAGAATGAGAAAGAACTGAAATGTAGCATAGAGCTGTATATGTATCGGGCTTTGAGAAACAGCAGTGCACTACAAGATATATTTTCAAATGTTGCCACAGCACTTCACATATACCTCAGTTTGATGATCACCAACTGCAGTGATGAAAGATCATTCTCTGCATTGAAACGGATAAAAAACTATCTGCGAAGTGCTTTGGGCGATGACAAACTAAATTCCCTTACTGTTATGTGTACTGAATCTGACATCCTAAGAAGCTGTGACTTCAATGAAATTTTATCAGACTTTGTTGAACGAAAATGCAGAAAAAGGAATTTTTGATCGTGTTGTTTTTTTCTTTGGGTCAACCATTTATAAAATATATACTAGTATCTAATATACCTGATAATTTGTTTTTAATTTTGAAATAAAATTAGATTTTCTTATAGATATTATTATTATAAATAAAATTAAAATTGTACTTTTTGACGTATTTTTTAGAAAATAATAGGTATATAGGGCCCATGAATTAGTTAAGCCTATAGGCCCATAATTTGATAATTCGCCACTGTATTTATATATATATATATATATATATATATATATATATATATATATATATATATATATATATATATATATATATATATATATATATATATATATATATATACATATATATATATATATATATATATATATATATATATATATATATATATATATATATATATATATTTATATATATATATATATATATATATATATATATATATATATATATATATATATATATATATATATATATATATATATATATATATATACTATAATGCAATATTTATTACTTATTTATAATAAATCAATATAGAATATGTTATACTCACAAGAGATATTTGCATTGTTGATTTTGATCCAAAAAATGTTTATATTTAGTAAGAAAGAACTTTTTTCTTTTTCCACACTCATTAAATTTTTTTATTAAATTAAAAGCCAGACTTTTGAAAATGTTGAGATTCACAGTGCAATCAGCATAAAGTGATAAAAACTTGGACTGCAAAAATTTAGCACATTCAGATATATTTTTACTCGTGAAAATATGCCTTGGAGGAAAATTATCAGCCAGAAGTTTGCTAAGATTAAAAGTAACCATTTTTAAAAAATTCTAAATCACGATGAGAGCCAAACTTAGGTTATAACTTAAAGACTAGAAAAGAATGTTCCGCCCGCATCCAGTTTCTTCTTGACAAAAACTAACTAACCAGTTTTTAATAAATTCACCTCTTTTGAACTGATTTTATAGCATGTTACTACAGAGGTAGCCAGAATATTATTTCACTTATAAAAAGTCAATTTGTTTGAGAAAATTTAAAAAAAATAAAAAACTGGCTACCTCTCTAGTAACATGGTCTAATCGATCAATCTTTACAGACACCCAAAAACAATAATCAAAACATTTTTTTTTTCTTTTCTTGGTTTTTAACTTACAAAATGTATCATTTATTAGAAAATGTGCAAAAAAAATTAAGAAATTCGAAAATTATCTTATGTAATTTAAAGATTTAGTGAAAACATGGGTTTTTCACCCCTGAAAATCCCGCACCTAAAAAGGCAAATTTAAAAAAAATAAAAAAAAACTTTTTTTTTATTAACTAATACTAATCTGTTTCAGTTAAAAAATATTTAAAATATTAAGATTGAAATTTTTTTTCTGAAAAGTAAGTAAAATCCTATTTCCGCTTCGCGACGCATAGTGCCATGTGATGGGTAAATATTAAAGCTAAGAAAAAGAAAATGTAATTTAAGTTAAATTAACGATAAATTAATTGAACCATAACAATTTTTTTTCATTCTGATTTTTAAATTAATGTACACTCGCAAAAAAAGACTTTATAATCTATTAATAATCAATATACAACTACTTAAACTCTATTCTTGTAAAACCCAAAAGTTGTATTATACAAAAATTTATCTCAGAACATGGGGAATTAGCAGAAGTATAATTTTTTTTTTTTTTTTTTTTTTCAGTTTACAACTATTAATCGTAATATAACAATATAACAATATATAAACTTGGTATCTGAAAGAAGATACAAATGATCTTGTCGCCAGAACCATATAAAAGATATAATACGTGTATATATAATAAAATAAAATACAATTGATCAAATAACTAATAACAATGTAGAAGAAACAAAAACTGAAAATAATTTTACAAATTATCCAGAGTAAAAAAAAAAAATTTTACATTTCAAAAATATTTATTTATATTGCCAGTAGAAAGAATATAGTTTTTTAATTTAGTTTTAAAAACGGAAAACGAAATTGACAAATCAAAATTTGGAACAACAATTTTGTTCCATAAATACGGTGCTCTATAGTTTATGCAAAATTTATTAAACTTTGTTTGACAAAAGGGTTTAATTAATAAATTATTATTTAGTAAAGCATATTTGTTTATAGCTTTATAAGTAAAAAGATCTTTGAAACTGGACAATGGTCGTTCACTTTTACAACGAAACATAAAACATAAAACATTATAGACATTGAGTTCGTAAACGTTAAGTGCTTTAACGTTTTTAAATGAAATATTTAAATGAGAAAAACGATTTTCAAAACATATTAAACGCATTGCGTGTTTCTGACGATGGTAAATAATGGATGTGTATGTCACCAAGGTATCGTTTTTCGTTGTTTGTGATATTTTTCTTAAATATTTTATAAAACATTCTGACCTCCGCTCTTAATTCTTAAAAAAAATATATTATAAAAACTAGGGGTCTGGGCTTGTAAAATACGGTCTTGATAAGTCTATTTAACACCAACCATTTCTATACCTTAATATTTTTTTCAATATGCTTTTTACATAAAAGTTTCTTTAAGATAGATAACAGTTACGTAACATTTTTTTTTTTTTTTTTATTTGCATTCACTCCCAACAAGGCTGCAAGCAACCACTATTAAGTTGGGAGTTACTAGGAAAAAAAAGAACAGAGTTATAGAGCAAGGAAACGGTTGACAGAAGACTTGAAAAGTTGAAGGTTGTATGAGTCAGGAAAACATGAAGATGGGAGAGAGTGCCAAAGGATTGAAGTGCGGGGAAAAAAACTAGATGAATAAATATTTTTAGAGCATGCGTGGACAGATACAGTAAACGAATGTGACTTAGCTGAATGACAAGTGAAACAAGAATGAATTTTAGTTGATGGAACTAGAGATAATATCTCCTTTGAGCAGTGACTATGATAGTATTTGTAGAAAAGAGAATGAGATGCAGCTTTACGACGATGGGAAAGAGGCTCAAGCTTAGCAGATAGTTAAGGACCAAAAACATTTACAATGCTTTTTTGGACCTTGTCAAGAAGAGAAAGTGAATCGTTAGAAGAACCAGCCCAAATATGACAACAGTATTCCATACAGGGACGAATAGGAGATTTGTAGAGGTAGAGAATGGAATCAGAAGTAAGGAAATGGCGAGCACGATAAAGCGAAGCAACCTTAGCAGAAGCTAATTTAGCAATCGACTGTATATATGGTTTCCATGAAAGGTCAGTAGTAAGCGATAATCCAAGAAGACGTAAAGAGGTGGAATCAGTAAAAGGATTGCCATTCATTAATATAGGAATGTTGACCATATTACAGTAGTTGTTTGCAGTAAGCAACTGGGTTTTTTTAGAGTTGAAATTCACATGCCACTGTGAACCCCAATCTATGACTGAAGTGAGATCGGATTCAAGATCAGCTGCTTGTCCTAGGCGATCGAAAAGAGAAGACTTTTTGTCAAGATAGGAGTGTAAGGTTAAGTCATCAGCAAAAAGAGCTACTTTAGATGAAAGGTTGTCAGGAAGATCGTTTATGTAGATAAGAAACAAAACAAGGCCCACGTTGGAACCTTGGGGAACCCCAGATATCATGTCTGGTAATATATATTAAGCTATTTCTAACATAAATAAGAACGTCTCTACCACGTTTATTTGTTTTTCGTGGTAACGAAACCAAATTGAAATCAAGCATTTCAAAATTTGTAAATAAATTTGCGTCATCCGAACTGCACCAAGTTTCTGTTAAGCAAGTTATATTAAGAATATTACAAGTTTCTTCAATAAAGTTACAAAAATTTTCAAAGTTTTTTCTTAAACTTTGTAAATGCAAAGTATATACTTCCTATAACTTCAATATTCAAGGATGACTTTAATAAACTTTCAAGGATGACTTTAATAAACCGGTTAGAAAGAAATGATTTGATAATTTCAAAAACTTTCCCAGAAACACCATATGAAGCAAGCTTATGGAGAAGACCAGCATGCCAAACTTTGTCGAAAGCTTTAGATATGTTGAGAGCAATAGCCCTAGCCTCACCGCCTCCATCTAATACACGATAAAATCTTTCAGTTACAGCAGCTAGCAAGTCGGCAGTAGAGCGAGAGGATTGAGATTTCTGCCGGTGTTTTTAAAAGCTTTAGGCCGATGACAGTTGCGTAACATTTATTATAGTGTTTTAGAAAAAAAAAAAAAAAAATATATATATATATATATATATATATATATTTATATATATATATATATATATATATATATATATATATATATATATATATATATACATATATATATATATATATATATATATATATATATATATATATATATATATATATATATATAAATAGCGATATATATATATATATATATATATATATATATATCGCTACTGATTTGGCAATAACTCGTATCTGACATTTTTTTCAAAATTGACGTTTTGGTATCAAATGGTTTTTGGTAAAAAATGAATAACCACAAAAATTAATAAAATTTTTATATAATAGAATAGCATCTGAAAGTAAAACTATATGAATTAAAAATATTACCTAATAATGTCTTAAACAGAAATAAATTAGTTTTTAGTTGCTCCTGAAAAATGTATTGATTGTCAGTTACGTGTTTTTGTTAAATCAGTAGCGATATATATATATATATATATATATATATATATATATATATATATATATATATATATATATATATATATATATATATATATATATAATTTTTCCATAACAAAAGGTCCTCGATATTGAATTCGATAAGAACTTATTTTTAAATAAATTCGCGGAACAATAAAGTTATCCTCTGAAAACTTTGTTGGATAGTTATGAGATGTTTTGGTAAAATAAGATTAAAATAAAAGTGGAGATATTACATGTTTTATTTTAAACATGGAAAGTAATGTTCGGTAAATGTTTAGTTTATAAATGTTTAAGGCCTTAAGACGATTTAATAGCGGTTCGCAATAAACTGTTCTGTTTGCCCCAAATACAATCCTACCCAGCGGGCACAGACGT